TTGGTCATTACATCTGTGCTCATGCCTGGCTTCAGCCTTGGAAAAAACTCTTGCACCACCAACATCTGCTGCAGGTCTTAACGGCTTGATGTGCAGTCATGAATACATGAGGGAAAAAATCTCATTTTCAGCAGTACGTGTTAATGGGTATTTGTTCCCCAGGTTCCGCTTTAAATGACGGCCAGTGGCATTCGGTGGAGCTGAACTCCAGACGAGGTCGTCTGAGCATCACGGTGGATAAAGAGGAGGGAGGCAGTGCCCAAGCCAGCCCCTCACTTCCTGCCACCATAGAAAGTCACCTCTTCTTTGGTGGTAAGAGTGGATCAGATAAAATAGTTGAATGAAATTGTGTTTACAATTGTGTTTGTGGCAACTAATGGAGAAATTATTTTATGACCATATGTTTGATTGGATAATGACTATCATGTGGACTTTCTTTTCAGGTTGTCCCACTGAAGACGACAGGCAGGAATGCAGAAACCCCTTTAATGTCTTCCAGGGTTGCATGCGTCTACTGACTCTGGACAACAAGAACGTGGACCTGATCATGGTGCAGCAAAAGGAACTGGGAATCTACAGCAACCTGCAGATCGACATGTGTGGAATTATGGACAGGTCAGTTTCCAAAAGAAAATGTTTCATAACATTTGTTAAGGCCCATTTTTGTTGTTTTGCTAGTATATCTCATGTAACCCTCCCCTGGCATTCTGCAGAGCCCATAGAGCTTTATCACACCAGCATTTATTTATTTAAACCATTTTGGACAAATTTCAGTTGCCAAGGGGATGGGATAGAGTGGATTGTCCACTGATCAGAAGGTTGTCCGTTCGATCCCCCGCTCCTCCCGTTGTATGTTGAAGTGTCCTTAAGCCAGATACTGAACCCCTTATTGCTCCTGATGGTGTATGAATGTTTCTGTTTCTGATGAGCAGTTGGCACCTTCAAGGCAGCTGCTGCCATCAGTGTATGAATGTGTGTAAATGTGTGAATGTGGCATGTAGTGTAAAGTGCTTTGATTGGTCGGAAGACTAGAAAGGTGCTATACAAGTACAGTCCATTTTCCATTTACCATGATTGGTGCATTTGCTTGCAGGGGAGCTTGACAGGGCTGACCTTTGAGGGTGAGTCCAACATGGAGAAAGCTGTTATAGTAGCTATGTTGTATTTAATAGAAATCCAAATTATGAACTAAGAAGAAATAATGCCACAAAGCTTTTTTGCGAGGATATACAAATAAATTTTGCTGTGCCGATTTCCAGACCAGGCATTGATTGTGTGTCTCTTTTTTTAGTTGAAGATAAATGAGAACTTGCGTCCATTGCATCTTAAGTGCAACGCCTCAACCACTCAGCCATCCTGGTGAGAGGAGCCAAAATTTCCACACGTCAAAAACCAACCTTGTTAAGATAAAGAGAGAAATAGAATACATACTTGAAACTGTGAATTTGGCTTTTTCATTTCATTTTTCATTGGCAAAGTCTGAATGTGAAGAGGAAATTCTCTGCTGTTATCTGCCCAACATGTTAGTTAAGAGTACCAAAACACAGTACATTTGCATATGAATAGAAATTCTGTATTGAAACAGACATTGCCCTTGTTGTTGATCATGCTTGGCAGTACATAAACAACTGTTGCTGCTTTGCTACAACCTCTGTTGTATGATAGATCTGCATTACTTCAAAGTTACTCCCTGTTATCAAAGAGCATATACCAGGAGTGGGATTTGAACCCACGAGGACTAGTGTCCATTGCATCTTGAGTGCAACGCCTTAACCACTCGGCCATCCTGGTGATGTAAGTAGGGTTTCCTAAAGGTATTGACCTCAGCTGTCACTAGTTACTTCTTCTTTAACTTCTTTATTAAATGCTTCGTAAAAATATGCATGTTAGGTTTCTAAATGAGCCAGGCCAGCACAGAACCGATGCAATGCCTCATGGCAGTTAGATTTGTGTCCGACTTGCTCTGACATCATGCACATGTGGACAACAATAATCTCACAAGTTACACAGTTTTTAGAGCCAGGCGCCAGAGCTGCTCTCTACCAACAGCAAGTCCCAGTGCCTGGCTGTTGCCTGCTCAAATACACAAACACCACATTTTGTAGAAAACCCTAATATTCTGTGTAATTGTAATATTAATCGCTAGATTGTAGGCTATTAGGCTCATGGTGTTAATAAACATATCTTGTGTGGTTTAAAGATTACTGTGACTTCCTGTACATTCTCTGGCTTCTGGAAACTGTCAGACTTGATTGCTGCTTTTCGTCACTACCTCATGATTTCATTCACTTTCTCTCGCAGTTTATGTGAAAAACTCTCTCTGAGAAACACACTCTCATTGATTCATGCCATGCCACTTTTGCAGAACAGTGGAACACAAGGAGCAGTTCTTGGACTCCAAAATTCCACAATGTACCTTTTATTGGGAAGATACACTTGTGTTCCCAAATACCAGGAGTGGGGTTCGAACCCACGAGGGCTATTGCCCATTGGATCTTAAGTCCAACGCCTTAACCACTCGGCCATCCTGGTGCCTGAAGCTTTGTTAACAGCAAACATTAATAATGTAAAGACAAAATACATGCTGTTGTTCAAGGCATTTATCAAGAGCATTGGAAATTTTTTTGTAAGAGGTGTCTTAACAGCATTCTGATTTAATCAATCAATCAATCAATCACATGAAAGAGGCACATTTGTCATATCTGGTGATGACCTCAGCCTGTTTTCCAGTCATGTTGATTCTCATTTTTGCATTTGGGATATTTTTAAAAGAAAGTTATCACAAGAACGCAAACGTGTGCTGATGCCTCATTGAGGAGTTATATGGAGCGCAGGATTGGACCAGTCACTATTGTTGTTCAACATATGCCAATTGAACACAATACCATGCCCGTTAACAAAGCCACTTTTTGCAGGAGAATTCAGTTCTTGGTTTCCAAAATCTGCACAATGTACCTTTTCACTTTGACGACAATCCTGTGTTTCCCAAATACCAGAGTGGGGTTCAACCCCACGGGAGGGCTTATTGGCCCATTGGATCTTAAGTCCAGACGCTTAAACCACTCTGCCGATCCTGGTTCCTTAAAGTAGATTAACAGCACAACGACTAATAATTGTAAGACAAAAATACAGCTATTGTTCAAGGCCATTTATCTAAGAGCATTGGACATTTTTTATGAGGTGTTTAACAGCATTCTGATTTAATCAATCAACTCAAATGAAATGGCTGAGGTGTGAAAGTCAGAGGACATTTGTCAAGGGGATGATGACCTCAGCCTTTTGCTCCACTCAGGTGATCTCATTTGTCCATTTTTTTGAGGATATTTTTAAAAAATGTTTCACAAGAAAAAACAAACTCTGGCTGACCCTTGCTTGAGGAGGTTAATATGAGCCTCAGGGATAGGAGGACCCCCAATCTACTATCTGTTGTCACTATGAATGCATTAGCCCACATTCTTAGCTTGCGGTTACCCAAACGCCACTATTTTGCATTTGCATTTTGAAGGACAAATCCTGTGTTTGCCAAATACCAGGGATGTGGGGAATTGAAACCACGAGGCGCTACTTGCCCATTTGGATCTTAAGTCCAAACGCCTTAACCACTCGGCCACCCTGGCAACTATAGCTGCTTCTTTTTAACAGCCGAAAAGTAACAATTTGAAAACAAAACTCTTTCTGTTATCCAAGTAATTAATTGAAAGCATTGCAACAATTTTTGTAAGAGGTCTCAACAGCATGCTGATTTAATAAGGCAGTCACATGAAATGCTGAGTGTGAAAGGTCAACGGTACATGAGCCCAGTCTGTTTGAACAATCAGTGTTGATCTAATTTGTCCATTCTAGAATATTTTCGAGAGGTTGCAAAAAAATGTAATACTGTGCTGACACTTAAGGGGGTGGGGGTTTAAAACAACAAGACACATAACTATAACTACAAGTGTTTTAAAATGTACTCAAACCAACCATTTGAACTTGTAATGGAACACTGCACTCAAACTGAGCTGGTTACAGTGCAGCTGCTTAAATTGTTGGAAAGTGCTCTTATTTTATGTCTTTATATACCAGGAGTGGAATTTGAACCCACGAGGACTTGTGTGCATTGTATCTTGAGTGCAACGCCTTAACCACTCGAACCCAGACATAATAATGAGAAAACATGGAAGAGATCCATATATAACACATGCTTTTGTTGGTCATAATTTATGAGTCCTTGTTATCATGAGTGGTGGTTGAAAGAAAGAAAGGCACATTTTACTTAGTCTAGTCAATATCTTTTTTGTCTTTTATCTTTTTGGATATCACATGTCGACAGAAAACTGGTGAAAATTCCTTCTCCTGCAGCTTCTAAGCAGAATTTAATAAACAGTGCACCAAGGCGTGTTGTGGTAAAACAAAAAACACAGAAAGGTAATTTGACAGAGAGCAATAGCAGCGTTGTTGTTCTGTCAAACAGTAGTGAGTCTGATTGGTTCTTAAGCAGAAATGTTTCTTCTGGCCTTGATTGTTTGATCATCTTACATTTTTTGAGAGAAAACTTTTTGTTGATTTGAAATTCAATTTTCTTCGCTGAAAGAGTTAGATATTTGTGGGGTGAAACTGGGCGGCATTTTAGAGAGAAACCACAGTCTAATGAGCATGATTTTGAAAAGAGGTGTTAAACAATCACATTTGAGTGTAATGTTTAGATGTCCACATGTTGTTACAGCCCTATTTTTGTCTTCCACTTTTCAAGTTTGAGGTCTTTTGTGTCTTTGATAGACACACAGAGCCAAAGTACATACATCAGTAATAAATACAATTATAGTAATGTGTGGGCATGGAAAATGTCAACTTACATCATATAAATGTAATTTCTAATGAAGCCTCGACATAAAGAGAGATTAAGGTGTGTTTAATAATAGGTGGGTTTAGATTGTATAACCATCACCATGTCAACACAATAAAGTTATGTATAATGGGGACTGTCTGCCATTGGAGACAGAAACTTATTTTTAATTATAGAAACAATTACAACACATAGATACGATTGTGTATTAATGAAATTTTGATCCCTTCCCCTTTGTATATCTCATGAGCAATGAAAAAGGCTCCAATTAAAGAAACAGAACACAAAAATATAGATTTTAGCAGTGTTAATTTTTTTAAACCCTTGATTACGTTTTAGACAAAATCTAAATCAACTGTAACTTCGGCATTTATGTAAGCAAAAAACACATTTTGACTGCGGGGGGTCAAAATGTTAAAGTTTAAAAGTTAATTAAACTGGGAAGCAATTTTGAACTTCATGATGAATATTTTCAAAGTAAAGCAAAGTAAAAACATGCATATTATCAGTGACAATGCAGGATCAGAGCATAACTTCAAACTTAGGAGGGGAGAGGGAGAGAGAGATGAGGAAGACAGATGAGGGAGGGAGGGAGCACGGAGGAAATCGTTTGCTGTTTTGGTGTCACGCCAAATAGGAGCACAATTAATATGACAATTACAGCAATTATAAACCCCCCTCTAGGGCATAGCACACACACACACACAGTAAACTGGATGTAAACACCAACATACACACGAATATTGAACCAACCACGTATCTTATCCAGATAAGAAGAATCTGCTTGAGTGATTTTAATTAAATGTCTTCCTGTTTCTGCATTCATCAGATTATTATTCAGCAGAACACAATTCCTGCACATATCTGACTACTCACTGAAACAAAACAAAAAATCCTACTGTCCTTGAAATAGAGAAAAAAACATCTACCGTATGCTCTCTCTCTCTCTCTCTCACTGTAATCCTGCTGATTGAATTTTGGGCCCATGGGATATATCGTACTGTAAAGTCAGGTGGAAAATGGACTCACACAGCTTCAATGTGGTGGTCATACTTCAAAGCAGGTTATTATATCTACAGCTGTGTGTATGTGTGCGTGTTTTATGACTGTTGCCTGTAGCAAAGAGTATTATTAGCCAAAACAAACACTCCATTAACAGCACAAATGGAGCTCAAACCCACAGGGACCCTCTGCAACATCAGTTCAACATCTTGTGTTATATCAAACCTGCCTGCTTATTTTAGGTCACCTCGTAAAAAAAACAATTTGAAAATCACACACAAGAAAAATATGAGTTAAGTGTCATTCATTATTGTCAACAGTAATGTATTTACTTTTTCAGATTGATAATTGTCTTTTCATTGACAGCATAAGGACTCAAACTCTTCTGACTTTATGAAAGGTTTTGTATTTGCTCTCCAACCTCTTCTCTTTCTTCTTATTCTTCTTCTATTCGAGCCTGGGGAACTTTTAAGGGCTGAAGAGGAATGTTTCTCTCCTCTTCTGTTATGTACACAGTGTAATGTTGGAATGTGGATAAGGGCTGTGTATTTTACAACACACCTGAATCTATGCACTGTTAACAAAAGAATGATGCACAGTCTGAAGGAAGATAGGAATGGTTTCTCTCTACCAGCACCAATGAACTTACTGTGTGACAGAAGTTAAAGTGTTGGGCTCAGTTGACCACATGGATCAGAAGATGCTGTGGAATACTGGGCTGATGGGACCCTGAGTTAGTGTTTGAAGTTTGTGTTTGTGGGCGCCTTAGAGCTCAGTATGAATGCTGTGTTCCTGTGAATGACATTTCAATGGATGTTATCCATCTTTAACACTGTATTGTTTTGTCTCTGCGGAAGAAACTGGTTTTCAGAACAAGTTTCTAACAGTGTTATGCTTTCATGATATATGTGTGCGGGTGGGAATGGATGGGGAGTGGTGGGCGTTTTGGAGTCTTTATTTCTCATATTATTTTTCTGTGTGGTAAACATTGTTGTGACTGCCGTTTTATCAAAAGAGGATGCAGCTTTTTTAAATCTGTCCCCATTTTTATCATCATCATAGTTGAACAAAGAAATGGAAAAGAAGAACACCACGCCGGGAATAATATAATATATAAATAATTATATCAGTAATGTTTCTAACAGATAGATGTCACTACTCACACTTTAAACTCTAACATCAAAAAATGAGAAAGCAGCAGGCAGTTTAGGTTAATATTTAATGGGAATACTAACTAGCTCCTTTCAGATCAAAGCAGTATTGAGATTAATGGAGATAAAATTCACACTGTAGCAGGCTGACAGGCTGCTGAGTCAGGGCTTCTATCTAAATACAGGGGAGTTTGCAGACGCACAGGTTCTGTACAGTCATCTATTTTCTCTTCCTGTATATTCCTGCCTGGGTTTGGGCAAACACACTCAAACACTGTCACATACATTCATGTTTAGTACTCAAAACATGTATTCCTTAATATTACAGAAGCATGCAGACTTGAAGCTCCCCATATACCAACACACAAAACACTGTACACACAGTCACTCACAGAGGTAGAACTGAGAAATGATGACAGGAGATTGGAGTGAAGCAGTTATCATGGGTTTTTTTATGCGTGTGTGTGAATCAAACCCTGCTGAACGAATCTGCCATGACAGCAACACACGCGGCTAAAAATACTGTTATCTTAGACGGATGCAACAAGAAGTAGTGGTTTCAAAAGAGGCCAAGTCAGGTTAGGGTCAATATAAAGACATTTTGAAGCACAAGCTTGCAAAAATAATGTAATATTTATCAAAACTGCCCAGAAGTCAACAAAAAGTGCACTTGACGGAGTAGCTGTAATGTAACATGTGGACGGGCACCACGTTTTCTCAGGCAGATCAACACTCACCAAGCAACGTGCATCCAACTGTCTTTAAGTTACAGTTAGTAAGCATCTTTTTTCATCATCTCTGCATGTTTGTTTTTCTCTTTCTCGGTTCAGTTGAATGAGGTAACTTCCTAGTGACAGTGTGGACCAGAGCTATGTTTAAACAAAGAACCGAGAAAAACTTGACCCCACATTTGCATATTTATTTTTATTTTTTTTGCATCCTATTTTTAGTACAAGACAGTAATGGTATTATCATAATATGCGTCAAATAATAGTATTAGAACTAAAAAAGCTATAAATAGTGTAACTGAAACATGACTATTTCTGGTCTAGGTGAAAAAACATGTGGAGTCAGAACTCTAAGAGTTTGATCATAGGTCGACTTCTGTCTCGTCAATTTGACAGAGGTTTGGAGAAACGTAAGCAAACAATATATAGCATCAAAGATTAACAATCTGAACTAAAAACTGTGGACTGTATATAATGTGTAAGTTGTTTGTACAAAGTCCAGAAAGAAGGTTTTTAAAAAATCCAACATACATTTATCTTGATTTTGGGCAATATGTGACTGATTCACAGAATTTGACAGACTGATAAATTTAAAAGTCCCTGAAACATCTTTTCTAGAAAGAGGATGGAAACTTCAGTTTGTGTACTCTTATTTTCAAAAAAACCAAGATATGTTTAATGTTGTCCATCTCTGAAGAAAAGTTTTCTCTTGATAACATCTACTGTAAGAAACCGAAATGATTCTTCAGTATTAGACACAAAATGTTTCAGAGATTTTTTATACAATTCAACAACCTCCCACACGTTGCCTGAATGGAAAATATGACCTCCTTCAAATGTTAAAAATGAAATATTTTTTGTTTCCACTAGTTACATTATTCCTGATACTCCTACATACATTTGGCCACGAAACGAATAACGTGCTTGGGTAAACATAATTTGAAATGCTTTCTGTCCATGTAAGGAAGAAAGCTTTATGTAACAGACTCATTTAGAAAATTTCCTTCAAGCACACTCTTTTTTTCGCGATCGTGGTGAGTTAAACAGCATTGTTTGGCAATCTGTGATATATCATTTATAAAGACCCCAAAAGGTCAAGGCCTGACAGTTCTTCCTTTCAAAGCATCCACAAACACATCGAGCCTGTAAGATAAACGACTCAGCTAAAACATAAAAGATGCTTCAGCTGCTTTTTCAAACAAACTAACAAAAAAAGTGTACCTCTCAACAATAACGGATGAAAGGTGTTTATTGCCATCGACTGCTTTTGTCCCCTTGGAAAGGTTTTTGGCAGTAAAATCTGCAGAATTGTTTCCAAATATTCAAGCTGCCAAAACAAGCAAATGGATTTTTAAATTCTGCTGTCTCAGTATATTGAAAGAATATATAATCATACAGTTTTCTCTCTCTTTTTCTCTTCTTGACAGTAAACATAAATCCTTCAAGTTCCTCCCATGCACACGTCTATCAAGATATTGTTGGGGACTGAAAAAAAAGTCCTTGAGAAACTTTGCAACAAACTTTGTTGACTTCTTGTCTCTCTCTCGCTCTCTCTCTCTCTCTCTCTCTCTGTCTCTCTCTGTCTCAGGTGTTCTCCCAGTCGCTGTGAACACGGCGGCCTCTGCAGTCAGTCCTGGACCATCTTCCATTGCAACTGCTCTGACAGCGGCTACAGTGGAGCGACCTGCCACAGCTGTAAGTCACCAGTCAGTCAAACATGGGCACATACGGTAACCAATGGGCAGTAGGGCCAGATTGAACCATTGAAGGCTCTAATTGTGAGTGCTGTCAGCCCCTTAAGACCCACCAGTCCTCCCACTCTCTTTGCATTGTGTGTGTTGCCTCTATGTACCTGTCAGACACAGAGCACTCAGCAGATGGCACATAGCAACATAAACCATATATATATATATATATATATATATACATATATATATATATATATGGTTTAAATCACAGAAACCAACCAGTACTCCTTAGCATTTTGCTTCCAGGATTGCTGTATGTTAAATGTTTACTGTAGAAATATGCACCAAATAAGCATAATCTCAAATGAAACAATAAAAAAGTAG